GGGGACTAAAGAGGAGAACAGAAGAGGAGGAGGTGTAGAGGAGGTGAGTCAGTGGAAGATCAGCTCATTACAGCGCACCAACTGTTCACTGTGTGTGTGTGTGTGTGTGTGTGTGTGTGTGTGTGTGTGTGTGTGTGAACGACAAAGGTCAGTTTGAAAAATGAGGTTTAGTTTAGTTTTTCAAACTAATTATTAAATATTTCAGAGAACAAATTCTGGTATCATTGATGAGAACAGAGACAAAAATGTCCAACTGTGGTTTGAGGTGAGACAGAAAAATGAGACCAACCTCAGAATGAAAGAAAAGAAATTCTTGAGGGAAATATTGAAAATATTGAAAATATTTTTTTTCTTTCCAAAAACAGTTTCCTTTTTAAACACATGATTTTTCTTTTAGAATTCCCAATAATTAACCTTCAGCTACACACACACACACACACACACACACACCCACACACACACACACCTCTGACTGTTGTGTGATGACACACTCCCTTCACCCTGGAGTGAAGTTTTTTTAATTGAAAAACCAAACAGAGATAATTAAGAGTGGATCAGCGTCGGCTGCAGCTCGTCTCACCTGCCTCTACACTGACATCAACATCAACAGACATCAACATCAACTGACATCACACCAACAGACATCAACTGACATCACATCAACAGACATCAACTGACGTCACATCAACAGACGTCAACAGACATGACATCAATATCAACAGACATCACATCCACAGACGTCAACAGACATGACATCAACATCAACTGACATCACACCAACAGACATCAACATCAACTGACATCACATTACATGTCATCACTGTGACCAAACAGACCCAGACTTTTTGACCCACAGTTTTTCTCCTCTGGACTGTGAAAAAGTCAGATTTATTTTAATTTAATTTTTATTTTTTATTGAATCATTTATTTATTAACAAATTAATTAGATGCTCAGATCAGTGAAGTGCAGGTGAACGGGTAAAGAAGTCTAGATTAGTCAAACCTGAGTGAATGAAGCCAGGCTTCCTCACAGGTTAGATGATGTCACCGGGTCGGAGTCTGTCCTGATGATAACAGTGGTGATGGAGACAAAGTTCCACCTGGAACTGTTGCCTTTCGTTCTTGTGGTTCTTTAGTTCCTCTTCATCATCACTGGGTTCTCTGTTCCTCAGGTTCTCTCCTCTATCGGTTCTTAATTTCCCTCCTCTGTCTCCAGCACCTGATGAACCTCGGTTTGTTTGCTTCCTCAATCGGTGACGTGATTGTGTCTCCATCTAGTGGCAGTCGGTGGTTATTACACCTCGTCCCTCAGATAATTGAATCTGCCGGTGAACGCTTTAATCACGTCGTTAATCGATGGAGTTAATGAGTGTAGTAAAGAGCGACACGACAGAAAACAGCTCAGTGTTTGACTGCTGTGCTTCACGTTTATGACAGCCTGTAATCAACAGGTCAGCAGTTTGATTCCCAGACTCAGGCTTTAATATGTCAAATGGGGAGGGGAAAAAAAACTTACAAGGTTTAAAATCGTCTGCAAATCATGGATTTTTTTTTTCCTGTTTGTGCAGCGTTGGCAGAAGTCGGGGACTCACCTGGAACACCTGGTCTCTCGCTTCTGTCTGGACTCAGAGATGGCCCTGGACGGAATGGACTCGTCCAAGATGCTGGTGATCAGTCCCTGTGAACTGTCTGCATACACACAGAGGTGGGAGGTGCCCTTCTCCTGACCCCTCCCTCCCATGCTCATCCTACTTGACCTCTCTGACCTTTCAGCTTCTCCCACCGTCTGAGCAGGGAGACTGTGAGGGTCCAGCTTGGTTAATGGTGTCTGGGTCTGGAGAGTTCTGGTTTCAGAGGAGGAGAGTCTTTGTAAATTCAACGTTCTCCAGACAGTGGAACCAGGAGCACCTTAAGGCCTTGAACCGACCAGAGACTTCAGAGTCTGAGAAACATAAATGAGAGAATGCTTCTTCACTGAGAGTGTCTGTTTAACTATGTGAAACAAGCACAACTGTAGAAACCATGTCTGATTTTCTCTACAGGAAAAAAAAAACCCACAGATGTTAGTCATTAAACACAACTGATGTCTAATTAAAATTAAAAAATGGTAAAATGGTAAAATGTTCCCCAAACTCCATAGATTAAATGGATCATTTTAGCTCACAGCAGCTGCCACTGGTGTAAATCAGAAGAAATCATTTGAACCACTGACGTCACCAAACGATGCACTGAAGTTGAATGAAAAATCAACGACTCCTGTGATGTAAACCTGTTGATTTTCTCACTGACTTTGGTACAAGAGCCAACATTTGATGTTTTCAACATTTTTATTATTGCTGCTTTTGGAGAAACAGGATGACAGCAGAGGAAATGCATTAAATTATTTTATAACCTGAGCTTCTGGAACCATTTGTGCACTGATGTTTTCTTCCGCCTCCTACTGGGAGAATTGTATTATACAATGATAGGGCAACACTGGGTAAAAACAAAATAAAACCATTAATTAGTTTATTTATTGTTTAATGTCATTGTATGGTTGTAAAATTCACAATATTAAATTACAATAAGGATATTTCGAGAACAATTTTGTTATTCTGGAAAATAAAAGGGTCTTTTTATTTTGAGAATAAAATACATTCATTAAAAAAGTAAACTTTTTGGCGTACAACTGTATCATTATTTTTTCTTCAATGTGGCCATAAAAATGATTTTTTTTTTTTTGTGGTGAACTATCCCTTATATGTCATTGTTTTGCCCCCCCCCCCTTTCCCCCCGACACACACACAGAACAGAACAGTATCGAGCGATGTCCACCGCAGACCCTCGTCTTTCCTCTCCAACATCTTTAACGACTCACGGTTGAATAAAATGTTTCATCTTCACAGATAACAGCACCTGTGTCTCACCCGTTCTCTACCCGAGACTCGACTTGACGTAAGTATGGTGACCTTTTATGTAACGCCATTTTCAGCTCCTTTTAAAAAATAACTGGGTTTTTTTTTTTTTTGGTTGTTTGTTTGTTTTTCTTTGTCATGTGCGAAATAACCAGCATTTATTGTTTTAGGACGTAAACATTTGTAACAAATCTAAACGCTCTCGAATTAAACTTAAAGACAAGAATGGTTGATGTTTCGACTCGGACATATATTTTCAAGGTACCTACGTCACGTGAAGACCGCTTTGTAATGGACCCCTTTGGTGAGGAGAACGATGACCAATCACAGAGCAGGGGCGGGGTCTTTGGGTTGCTACCTTGTTGCGATAAGTATAAGGCGATAGAAAGTAGAAACTGACCAAATTTAACGTAGACGTTTGTCACGTAATGTAATAAAACACTCCCGCCCTCGTCCCGCTGATGCACCGCAGCCGTACGGAGGACAGTGTTACATTATATATATTATATATATACAGCGTACACTAATCTTAGGTTTCTAATCTTAATAATCGGTTTAAGCTAAATTACCCACACTAGCTTGGTACGTGAAGGCAACACAGCTAATACCGTCGCTTGGTGTTGACGTCACAGTAAAGCGACGGTGGACTTTCTTCTCTCTTGTGTTTACTTGGAATAAATAATACCATAAAACGAAGACAAAATGTTCGTTTTTCACCATTTTCCAAGACGGTTTCTGGCTAAAACGTAAACCATGTTTCTTTAGATTTCAGAGGTGAGTAAGTCGGCACCTGCTCACTGTTAGCTACAAGTTTCAATACGAAAACAAGGCCCTGAAAAAAAGAAATAAATACTTCTTTGGTGTGTTTTATAAGTCATGCGTGCCGTACACGAAAGTTTATGATGCGGAATCTGTGCAAATTATATCAAATATTAAAAAAATATCGACCGCTCGAATGATACCGTAATCAAGGCCACAGAATGGGGAAATCCACAGCAAGTGCAGTTGAGAGTATATTAAAGTTCAGCAAAGTGCTATAATAACAAAGATGGCAACCTGACATTCCCTAACTGTATATTGTCCGGTTTGCAGGTACGGTTGCTATGATACTGCAGTACAGAAAATAATAAAAACAAAACTGTAAAAATGTTTGGGCGCAGTTTGTAAAATAACAGCAACATTTTATTACATTTAGCTTCAAACAATCATTGAAAAGTGGTGTAAATTTTTACAGCACATTCACAACAATATTATAAATATATAATCAAGTAGTTAAATCTAAATATCAAATGTTACACCTAATTGTTGGATCTAAATGTTAAACCTCGGTAAGTTAGATTTATAGTTAACATTTAGATTAACATTTTAGATTTAGTTTATAACCTTGTTTTTTTTTTGTTTCATGGCAGCTCCCCAATGTTTGTCCAGCACCTGAGCTCCTTGGGTTTCGCCCATTTTCTACCCATCCTCCCCTCGTCTCTTTTTCGGACCAGATTCAGAAGCAACACCAGCTTATCCATTTCCTCTTCTTCCTGTTTCCCCAAATTCATCTCCACTCCACATCTTTACCCTCAGTCAATGCGAGGAGTAACTCTGCAGACTTTGCGACCACCCCTCACCCGACCACGTCCAGCACCAGTACGTCAGGTTTTCTCTGTTGGACCTTTAAACCCTCACAGCTTGGGCAGCTCCGGCAGCAGCTGGCGTTCGTTTTCCTCTTCCACCCGCTTTCTGATGGAGCGGTACGACAGAGATCGAGAGCCTCCTCACAAACGGAAGAGGAGCAGTGAGGACCGAAGAGCAAGAGGAGGAGAAGAAGGGAGAGAGGGAGGAAAGGTGAAGGATGGAATCTCAGCGAAGGAGCCCCGTCACCCAGGACCCACTGCTCACAGCAGGCAACATCACCACCACAGCTGCAGAGACGGAGGTGGAGGCAGGGGAAGGTGTGACAGTATCAGAGGGAAGAACGGTGAAAGGACGACACCTGGAAACACAGAGTACCAGCAGCAGAAAGACAGAACAGGTGCACCAGCTCACTGGTGGAGGAAACAAAGTCAGCCAGCAGGGCGGAGACACTCCAAACCTGAGGCTCAAACGGTAAAAGCTGATCCCGATAAGGGAAAGGTTCCAGCACAGAGACCCAAACCGTGCCCAACAAAAAGGAGCATAGCAGAGCAGGGAAGAGGAGCAGCGGGGGAACAGCCGAGGAGCGGTGGAGGTGGAGGTGTGTGGTCGAGCAGACCACACTCTGACAGAGCAGGTGGAGAAAAGAAGGAACAACCTGCAGCAGTGACAAGTGAGTGAGTGAGTTAGGAGTCGGAGATAAGGAAAGACGTTTCCTCAGCTGTTTGTCATGTGTTTATTCCTCTTTAATTCCTCACACAAGAGAGCGGCAGCAGCAGTAACAGCAGCAGCAGTAACAGCAGCAGTAACAGCAGCAGCAGTAACAGCGGCAGCAGTAACAGCAGCAGTAACAGCAGCAGTAACAGCGGCAGCAGTAACAGCAGCAGTAACAGCAGCAGCAGTAACAGCAGCAGTAACAGCAGCAGCAGTAACAGCGGCAGCAGTAACAGCGGCAATAACAGCAGCAGTAACAGCGGCAGCAGTAACAGCGGCAATAACAGCAGCAGTAACAGCGGCAGCAGTAACAGCAGCAGTAACAGCAGCAGCAGTGTGAGGTGGAGGCTTCAGCCTTCATCATACACAGGTCACCAAACACAGCTGCTGCATTCAGACAGGAGCAGAGGAGAAACTCCGCCTCCTGTGAAGCAAGTGACAGGGGTCAAAGGTCAGGCAGACACATCTACTGTATTCACACGAAGAACAGAGTTTTCTGTAGGAACTGTTTCTAAATAGTCTTCTAGGTTCATACAGAAGTACTTATGTTTGTGTAGAAGTACTTTGGTTTCATACAGTAGTAGTTAATGTTCAAAGACCTGGGGCGGCCATCTTTAAACTAATGTAATGCTGCTCCTCCTTGGTTAGCTAATGGTTATTCTGAAGTATCTTTCCCTGTCAGTTCACGTCTATTTCACATTTACAAGTTTGTGGATTGTCCCCTGCTAAATAAAAGTTGAAAGGATTGTTAAGAAAGTTTTATCAGTCCAGAATAGGATATATATTTACACCAAACCAAACCTTTTCTCTTTTCGCTGCTCAGTTCTTCAGAGACAGTGGGAGCCCACTCTGCCCTGCAGTACTGAACCCCCACCACCAGGTGTCAGCACTGCCTTTGACTTCTCTGTGATGTCCTACAACATCCTGTCCCAGGAGCTGCTGCAGGACAACGCCTACCTATACCGACACTGTGACCCCGCCGTGCTGCAGTGGGACCATCGACTGCCCAACCTCATGGACGAGATCCAGCGGCACAGCGCCGACGTGAGCGCAGAACTTTTTATTTCAGAGGACTTAGTGGGAGAGCGGGGCTGACTCACTGATGTTGGTGTGTTCATGGAAATCTGTAAACATTGACATTTAAACTTTTTTTCAGATTGTATGTCTGCAGGAGGTTCAGGAGGATCATTACCAAAACCAGATCAAACCGGCTCTGCAGATGTCAGGTGATGACTGACTGACTGACTGACTGACTGACTCACTGGCTGACTGGCTGACTGGCTGACTGACTGCCTGGCTGACTGACTGACTGACTGACTGGCTGTCTGGCTGACTGACTGACTCACTGGCTGACTGGCTGACTGACTGGCTGGCTGACTGACTGACTGACTGACTGGCTGTCTGGCTGACTGACTGACTCACTGGCTGACTGACTGACTGACTGACTGACTCACTGGCTGACTGACTGACTGACTCACTGACTGGCTGACTGACTGACTGGCTGACTGACTGACTCACTGACTGACTGACTCACTGACTGACTGGCTGACTGACTGACTCACTGACTGACTGACTCACTGGCTGACTGACTGACTGACTCACTGGCTGACTGGCTGACTGACTGACTCACTGGCTGACTGGCTGACTGACTGACTGACTCACTGACTGACTGACTCACTGGCTGACTGCCTGACTGGCTGACTGACTGACTGACTGACTCACTGGCTGACTGGCTGACTGGCTGACTGACTGACTGACTGACTCACTGGCTGACTGACTGACTGACTCACTGACTGGCTGACTGACTGACTGACTGACTCACTGACTCACTGACTGACTGACTGACTGACTGGCTGGCTGACTCACTGACTCACTGACTGACTGACTGACTGACTGGCTGACTGGCTGGCTGACTGACTGACTGGCTGACTGGCTGACTGACTGACTCACTGGCTGACTGACTGACTGACTGACTCACTGGCTGACTGACTGACTGACTGACTCACTGACTGACTGGCTGACTGACTGACTCACTGACTGACTGACTCACTGGCTGACTGACTGACTGACTGACTGACTGGCTGACTGACTGACTGGCTGACTCACTGACTCACTGACTGACTGACTGTGTCTCTTTTTTTTCCATTCTCTTTCATTCACAGTGTGTGTGTGTGTGTGTGTGTGTGTTACCTAGGTTACCACTGTGAGTATAAGAAGCGGACAGGAAGTAAACCTGACGGTTGTGCTGTTATCTTCAATTCCTCCCGCCTCTCCCTCATATCCTCCAATCCCGTGGAGTTCTTCCGACCCAGTGACTCCCTCCTGGATCGAGACAATGTCGGACTGGTGGCGCTGCTGCGCCCCCAGGGTTGCTCTGACCCCATGGCCTCCATCTGTGTGGCCAACACCCACCTTCTGTACAACCCGCGCCGCGGCGACATCAAGCTGGCTCAGCTGGCCATCCTGTTAGCTGAGATCGACCGCATGTCCCGACGACCCGATGGATTCAGATGTCCAGTTCTGCTGTGTGGAGACCTGAACTCCACACCATGGAGTCCACTCTACTGCTTCCTGACCACTGGGTCACTGGACTACAGGGGTCTGCAGATGGGCATGGTCAGACAACACACACACATTAAGACTAGGCATTTATGTGTAATAATTAATGTCAGACTGGAGAATGGATGATATGTGTGTGTGTTTGTGTGTGTCCAGGTGTCAGGTCAGGAGGTCACCTCCAGAGGTCAGCGTCTCCTGTCGTCTCCTCTGTGGTCTCAGAGGTTAGGGATCAACCCCCAGTGTCAGTACCTGCAGCAGCGTCCAGAAGAGTCCAGGTCCTGCAGTCCAACAGGTCCAGATACTTTTAATCTGTTCAAATGCTTTTTTAATTTGTAATACTTTCTTCTAGTTTAGTCTAGTTCTATTTACATGATATTTACTTTACTATGAAGGTTTTTTGTATTTAAACTGATTTTTATGTAACACTACAAATAAAAATATAAAATGTATTTTTTAAATGTTTAAATTAATCATTGTGTTTACTTTTTTAAATACTCAGCCTTGTTTACAACATCTTGCACAGTAGTACTGACCTAATGAGTTTTCCTTTCTAGAGGAAATTCCTTTATTTGTTTTATATTCATCATCCTCCAGTCCAGACTGACTAGGTTGTGTGTGTGTGTGTGTTGCAGCAGTAGAGGGCGCCATCTCTAACCTGAGCGTCGACGATCTACAGAGCAGATCCGCAGCAGCAGTGATGGCGGAGCGGTGATGATTCTCCTGACTTATGATCTGAAAAACAAACAAAAAAGTTTCAATATAAAACGTTTTTTTCTACAGAAGTTTCCTTCATTAAACCAACTGTGTGTGTGTTTCACACAGAGACAGACTCACACACAGTCTGAACCTGCGGTCGTCCTACCAGCACCGCCTGGTGCATGATGGGAGACCTGAAGTCACCACTTGCCACTCACGCACAGCCCAGACTGTGGACTACATCCTGTTTACTCCAGGTACTAACACACACACACATGCTGTTGGAGAGCTAGCCGTTAGCTACAATGCTAACTTGAGACAAAAGTTGACCTTTGTCATTCAGCTGAATTGCTGTTTGTGTGTGTGTGTGTGTGTGTGTGTTCTTCTTCCATCTGGAAAGACTCTGCTTCTGCTGTGACTCCATCAACCATGTTGTCGTCGTTGTCATCGCCCCCAAGTGGCCACAGCCTGCAGCTCCTGAGCAGACTCTCTCTGGTGGGTGAGTCAGAGCTGGAGGAAGTCAACGGTTTGCCCAATCGTCATCACTCGTCCGACCACCTGCCGCTGCTCGCTCGATTCCGGCTTCAGCTCTGAAGAAGCACCAGAAGTTTTGGGACTTAAACTGACAAATGGACAAACATTTTATTATGATATTTAATATTTATTATTTTTAAATTAGAAGTAAAGAGACATAAATTAAAAATGATGATTCATTATGGGACAGATTCTGATTTTTCTTTTTCTTTTCAACAATGACACTGTTAATAACAAGGAAAGTATCTGTATTCATATTTTGTGCATGAATATAAACTGTACACAAATACTGACTTTATTTTTCTATAATTGTAAATAAATATTTAGTTTTTCTAAATGGTTATGTTATAAATATAGTATACATGTTGGTGCTAGTAGAGTTTAATATATTATTATTAAAATAGTCTTGTGTAGTTCATGTAATAAAATGTCCGCTGCATTACCAAATCTGAACCACAAATGGCAAAAAGATAATAATTCCCGAAAGTGAAAGAAAAATGATGACCAATAATATTGACCAGAAATGTCAAAATACAGTGTCTATCTCTGCTTGAGAGCTGTGTGTCTGCTGTCTGTGTGTGAGGGAAGGGGTTCAGGCGGGAAAGTTTGTGGCGTCTGCACCTGCCCGTTTTGACTGGAGCACAGCGAGAGGTGAGACATACGGAAACTTTTCTGACGATAAAAGTGTTGTTTTATGATGTCGTGATATAATGGGACTGGGGCTGTTCGTGACGGGATCCTGTTAATTGTGTTTACCGTCTGTCAAAGTAAACGTAAAAAGCGATTCTGAGTCAGTTAAAATGGCGCTCGTTAGCATTAGCTTGTGCTAACATTTACAGGCCTCAGCAGCATTAGGGCCTGTTAACACGGCGATAATACCATGCGACAACAGTAGCCTCCGTTTGCACATTTTCGGGGCAAAGAAAATATACATTTAAAAAACGTAGAATACGACCTCGGTCCCTGTAGTTAATTTGCGAGGCCTGTATATGCTATAAACGTGTCCGTGGTATAATTTGTACAAACAGTGAAAAGAAGATTTGATTTGATTGAAATGCTAAAATATATCTTTATTTAAATTCTTCCAAATGTGAAGTAATTTTATTTTGATGTAGTTTTGTTAAAAATGCAAGTGTAAATCTGTGTAAGTCACAGAGAAGACAAAGAAGCAGTGTTAGAAGCATCTTTATGTCGCTAATACAAATCCACCGTTTGTATTAGCATGTTGCTAATGTTGACTAAAAACGTGACATTTTACAAGGAAAGAAACGCTAAAGAGAAGAATGGCTTGACTGAGAAAATGATCTGTTTTTTCTACTTTACTCAACAATCAGAGGGTTTATACACAGACTAATCCTGTTTCTATTTTCCATCAACTGAACATGTGAAGAAAACAGATAAAAAATCTAATCAAAATATCAGTAAACA